TTATAAATATACATATATATATATATATATTTATATTTATATTTATATATATACATATATATATATGTTTGTGTGTCTGTAGACTTGTTTAACGTGCGAGATACACATTTATGTTCATTTCTATATATTCAGTTATACTGTTATGTCTTTATGTGTTTGATCGGTAGCACTCGTTCGCGAATTGTTTAAATACACTGTCAAATGGTCTTTGTTCTGTGTATATACTATCTCTGCTACCGTAGTGAAATTTGGGTTGGAGGTGAATCGGTTTGGAATTGCCTCAATAATGTACAAGTGCACGTTTCTCGCTTGAGTGTACTTCGTCGGGGCTGTTCATAACTCTTGTACGCCTCATGTATGCCTTCGTCTCTGTAGTTATTGCAAGCGTTCTCATCTCTGGCCTACTTGCACAACCACATTGTTTATGCGCAGACGTAGTCACAGAGATCGCGATAGAGACAGAGATAGAGACAGGGGTAGTCGTAGAGACAGAGACCGTAGCCGTGACCGGAGCAGCCGAAGAGATCGTGATAGAGGTGCGTTATATTGCTTCTGTGCACTATCTGCATGCACACATGCGTATTCAACGTCTGGGCGTATACCTTTGTCTATTCACTTTATAGTATCGGGTGTCCGGCTGTGTGCTTTAAATGCGGACTGCGCGTATTATAGTGCATGCTTCGTTTGCCTCATGTTCCTCGTGAACATTTATTTCACTGCAAGTGGCTATCAATAGGCCAAACGCCGCAGAAAAAAAAGTGAAGTTGGTGTATTGAGACGACAGGTGTAGCTCCATGACACTTGTTTCGCCATGCTTTACTATGAAACGAGGTTCCCAATTTGTGAGACTTGGGACTTGAGATAACATTGCCCACTATTTGTGTAGGATTATGTTTTATTAGGATGTATCTAGCCATGAGTGAGCACTTACTCGCGAATACGCATGAGGGAAAACTGGCTTGCTCACGTACTTTGAATGGTGGACGCGGGCCTGTTTGAACGTACTTGCACATTATATGCACAGACACGAGTTTCCTCTCACACACTTGCGCTTCATGCTGCCCCTCTCAAGATCTTTCGAGCGTGCGAACACCCACGTATCTTTTCTGCAATTAATTTTCTACACATATACACCCACATACCAACACACCTACACACATTCACACACCAGTCAACTCAGCTGTATATACTAATACACGTAAACTCTAATTTTCAACCACTCGTGAGTATACACACACGCACTCGCACGCACACACACTCGCACACACACACACACACATATATATATATATATATATATTATACCATGCATGTACAGGAAGCAGAGAACGCCGACGCGACCGCGATGGCAATAGAGACAGAGACAGAAATGACAGGCGAGACAGAGGGTCGCGAAGAGACCGATCACGTTCAGGCTCACGAGGCAGAGGGCGAGACGGACCGTTGGCTGTGAGGAAGACGAAGTCGCGGTTCTGGGATGTGTGTCCGCCTGGTTATGAGAGTGTGACACCACTGCAGTTCAAGGCGATGGTGGCAGCCGGGCAGATCCCACCCACTGCTCTGGTAGGTATTTGTGGTGCGTGTGTGTGCAGAGAGGGGTGGAGGTTGAGGTTGTTGTGTGTGGCGGGTGGAGGAGATGGGTCGCCGGGTTGTAGTTGTGCAAAGCCGCGTTTGGAGTGTTCGTGGATGGGAGAAGTATACTTTTATGTCGGTATTTTAGTATATGAATACTTGCGATAAAGAGTGTACATGTGCGTGGTAGTTCAGGCCACAAAAACTGGTAAGTGCAGTATATGTGTCGTCCCATCAATGACATACGTAGGAAAGTATGAACCATCCAGACTCGTCGCACATAGTTGTGTGTATGAATACACGAGTAAGCGTATATACCTACACCATGTCCAAATGCCCATCAATTCGTGGTTTAAGTGAGCTCATCACTTCGCACTTCTTTATGATCAGGTCTCTATGATTCCCGGGTTTGGCATTCCCTTCGACGCACCGGCGGTTCTCGGTCCCAATGGAGCAGTAGTCCCAGGTGCTTGATATTAGTTCACATGTTTTTCTTTTCACAATGGTCAACACTTTATTACAGGTTATTGATATTTGTTCACATTTTTTCTTTACATAATTGCCAGCCATTTTGTACGGGCTTTTGGTTTTAGTTTACTCGACAGGTTTTCTTTCTTTCGAAATTGCCAGACATTTAGATCCGAGTTGCTTGATATTTATTCACATGGGATGTATTCCACTCAGTTGTCAGAAAAATTAGTCGCATGAGTTGTTTTGTCGATCTCATCACCACAGAAGATAGTTTATTCCAAATTTAATTGGGGGTTCATAAACTAGAACATCTCAAAGCGCCTGCATGCTCACCCCTTGGGTGTGTGTATCCTATTACCGAGTAGTGTGATAACTTGCTATGCTCAGAGCCCGTGATGTACACTGGGCTACGTGATATCATTCGTGGCGACGTCACACATCGTGTCAGGTCCATTCAACGCCCTGCGTTTTTTATTCTAAGTTGGTTGTATGCAAAATAGACACGCTGCCCTTTCTCTGAATACAAAGCGTAGAACCTGTTTTTGTTTACGTGGCAGTCAGTTGGGTATACATGTACCAGTTTAGCGCACTCCTCAGTCGTTGGCAGAAGTATTGATAGCTTTCCATTGTGAGGTTTGTAACCGTATTACTCGCTTAAGCTGCGTTCAATAACAGGCTAATTTAGGCCCTAAAATCACCCTGTATGACGCTGACGTAACTTGCATACTATTATCACAGGAATGCCCATGGGTCCTTTGGGAGGCATGACTTCGTTGCCTAGCAACCACCCAGCAATGATGGGAGGGGGAGACTTTGGTGGTATGTTTT